GGAGGGTGCCGAGTATGTCCGCTGGAGTACCTCCATGTTCTTTAACAGATGGGTGAGCTCCAACAGGTAAGACTGACACTGTGAGAGCTCTGGGAATAAAAGCAAAGACACAACTCAGTCCCGTAACGAATTAAAGATGACTTACCATCTCAGAATGACTAGTGGAAATTTGTCTTAGGTTTCCTCATTACAGATAATACTATCAATTAAAATACACAGCATACAATTCATCAGCACACATAAAAGAAGAACCACACATCAGACATAAAAAGCATACATTTACAAATAAAATTAAACTAATCATAATGCAAATACCTGGTAGAAACAAATAAAATACCATTAACAGCTTGTGTTCAGTACTTGTATTGAGTGTGGGATAAAGGACCATTTATAGACATTTCTAGCAGCTGTAGGGACCCTGAAATGTCGGCCAGCTGGAAGAATTACAAACTGAGAATTCAAGGGATGGGAGGCATCTTTGATTAGATAGATAATACTTTATTAATCCCAAATGATTATACTTTTTTGCCATCCTACAGAATGCACTGCTCTGTCAAAAATATCCCCCAGCTGTTTCACTGGCTTGCTAACAGGGGCTGGCTAACAACTAAAAATATTAATCTCTTAAATAAAAACAATTGCTGATTTGCGTTCTTAATGATATACTCACAGTTTTCATTAAAAGTAAGCGCCTTATCAGTAACTATCAATAACACAGACCCGAGGTGCCCCTGTGCTTAAAACCAAATCGTCTGAGTATACACCAGAAACAAGACCCTCTTTACTCCAAAGAATAAGACCACCAATCACATTAAGCATAAGAAGTCTTTCTAAAACAATGTCAGTTTCGATCGTGTTAAAAGCGGAGTTAAAATCAATTAAAAGGACACATTTAAATGTCTTTGGCTGTTGAAAGTGTTTTGCTATTTCATCAACTAGAGTGAGAGTCCCTCCCTCAGTTCCCCTGTGCGGATCGCGTTGCGGATGTACTGTAAGGTGGTTGCTAACCAACCCTTTCCACGCACTGGGCCAGAACTGGAGTGGGTGCTGAGTGCAACTGGTCTCAGCTACTCGCTCCTGAAACTTTAGACACAGGTATTACTTACTTCCATAAGTCTGGAACAAAACAAGCATTTATCAGACTCTCTGAGCTTACTCAGGAGACAGCTGAGAAAGCTTTAAGCTGAACACAATTTCAACCATCAGGTTCTAGTGCTTTATTAGGTTTAATCTCAGAGAGGCACAAGGGGTCAAAACTTGATATTTGATTGCAGTTGTTACTGCATTTTAGCCTTGAATCTCTCATATTAAATCTTCCAAAAAACCTATTTATATCACTGACAAAGCTTAACACTCTGCCCATCACTGTATGAAGCCCCTCCTGCGCTTGCAGGACGGCTGGGGACCGATCACAGCTTTGCGTCACTGGTGGCGACAAAGCAGCAGCCCTCCACCAGATGGCAGAGCCGCAGGCAGGGTGGCTCCAGAACGGGGCCGAGGCTCTGCTCTGCGCTATGCTGGCTCTTCTGGGATGTGTTGTGGGACACGTCGCACAGCCTGGGAGAGGGGTGGAGTACCTCTGGAGCACCTGTCCATGTCTTCGGAGGACTGGAGCCAAGCTGCCACTTTAGTCTGGCTGCTGAGGGCCGCTGAGAAGCTGCCTGCTGTGTGGACTGAAGACTGCTTCGTCAGAGGTGTCCTCTGGGCAAGAAGGAAAAGTCATTGGTCCACTGAGTCTGTGCCGATAAGCACCAGTTCCTCTTTCACACACCTGCCTCGGACCCGTGCTCCATGGAGCCCACCACAAAACGCCCTCTTCTAAAGAAACCGTCTCAATCTTCAGCTGCTCCCTTCGTCTGCATCTTCGGTTGCTCTACAGACACGAAACAGCCTTGCCACATGCAAAAACTGGGAGCCTGTCTGCCCTAGCTGGTTTCCTCTGGCACTGACCCGCCGCAGGAACAAACTGGGACCGAGGCTTACTGCGTGTGAAAATGGGATGTTTTGTCTAATCGAAGAGGGAAGGTTAACCTGAAGAACAGGAATTTCAAAAGCTCAAATAGTCCACCACCCCTGAAAATTCCACAAAGATTATTCACCAGCTCTCTAAGCCATTCACTGATCCATGGGCAGATCTGACTTTTAAATCATTTTAATAATGTTGTGTTAAAAACTGCATACTTCCCTTTGCTATGGAGTATTGATATATTTAAGGTGTGCTTATGACTGAGCTCCCCATTTCAGAAATAATATTATAAATAATAAATATTTCACATTTATCTCTGTGTCTTGGATTGATCTTGGATCTTGGTTTTTCCCTTCCAACAACTGATCTTCTTCAGAATAAGACAAAACACAATAAACAAAGCAGCTGTCACACACTGCAATGGAAGATCATTGTGCCCTGTCTGCTGCTACAGTCACTGTGTACGGGAGCTGATGCACATCAGAGAGACAGCTCTGGGAGCTTCTCTGTCGCCACTGTGGTACAAACTGAGGGAACGCCCCTGCAGCACACAGACTTTCGCAGTTCTCTATATTTCTTAGTGCTCTGGTCCTGGAATGCTCTATTCAATCGGTTTATTTGATCCAATTGAAGTTCACTTCTGGAAGGTTCATCCATATTTTCCTCAATTCGGTCAAGTCCAGTGATATTAAAAGTCAACTGCACCGCTGTTACTAGGCAGTGCTGAGTTACAAAAAGGCAGGCACTGATCTAAAAATCACTGACCCAAAATAATACTTCTGTACAATCTAGATATATATATGCAGAGAACACTCAAGCAGCCCTGCTCAACAGCCATGAAGGCAGCCTGTCCTACAGTCACTGGCGCTGCACCACAACACTGGCAGGACCGGCCGGCTCGCCTTCACCTGCAGCACGCTGCCCATCCGGGGCGAGGACTCCCCGCCTACCTTCCTCATGGAGGCCGTGTCCGAGGGGTTGGGCGGCGCGGAGGCAGTGAAGTAGTACAGAGGCGCGGTGTCGTGTGGGTACATGGCGATTGCACTCTGGCGGTACAGCCGGTGGTGGCGCAGTCTGGACACCCAGTCGTCGAACAGCTCCTGGGACTTGATCTATACAGGCAGGCAGAGCTGTGAGCGCACGGGCACCCTGAACAGACGGCAGGCCGCGGGCAGCTCTTGCATATAAGGACATTAACCGAACTCTTGTGAAATGTCTCGTCTGTGAACTGGGGCAGCTCCAGCATGCAGGCAGGGTCATTACCTTGAGGTGGTAAATATTCTCCTCCGCGTCCAGGTCTATGCACTTGGCCTTCTTCTTTATTGCCATTACTGACAGGCCGACATCGATGCAGCCATGGAGTTTCCCCTTCTCAATCTGCGGACACAAGAAGCCAGGCCTGGTTCATTATCTGCACGATGCTACTGTCCACACTGGGCCCCGTACAAACTTTGCATCCTGTCTCATGTTTGGAGAAGTCTCTGAACCATCCCGTTCATTTGCGCCGCACAGTTATCACTGTCAACAGTGCTCTTTGAGGAAATCCCTTCCAGTTCAAAGCTGCTTGTGTTGGGGGAGACTGTACTACTTTACACAGTCTTTACACATGGACTAAAGAACATAGATCACTGTGAATGGATGACATTCTAAAATGTGTTCCCCATCTTCTTGTTAATCATTAAAAACAGTCCCTTATGTAAGTACCTGTAATTACTCTTCAAAACAGTTTTCTCCAGCGCTTCCCATTAATAACGTCTAAGTTACTCACTGGTATGGTTTGATACTAATAAACACTTGTGTTAAAAAGGGAGGAGAAGAGGAAGCTGCATCTTGCAGTCAACAGGTTCAGAAGTTTCCTTTCTGTTCCAAGTGATGCCTGTCAGAATAAATCATGCACAAGGTATAACTTGGAAAGTCAGACTCCTGCACAGCCCTGTGTTGGACAAGATCCTCTAGGAAGCAGAGGCTCAGTCCGATTATGACGTGAAGCCAGATTTGGCATTTTGGCCAATACCGAAACCCAGCCTGGCAACATCGGGAAAAAGATCTCGTCTGAGAAAAAAAGTGACGATTTTTCTATTTGCTGGAAACCATGATGAAGACGCATAAATTCTGGACACTCCAACTTCTCATTTCTGTCATTGTCAAGGTTTCAAAGGTCTGCACTAGCTGGCCTGTCTCCCTCTGGTGCCACTCTTCCACTCCGCATGGCCTGAGAGCCCCAGGGCTCCCGCCAGCACACAGCCCGTAGGAGATCAAATACCGGCACCCGCTGACTCGCGCCCTGAACCCGGTGATCCGAGAGCCAGGAAGGTGGGAAGGGCGGCGCTGAGTGGGCATTCAGAGCAACTGGGAGGGCAAAAACAGAGAATAAACAACTCCTGGAACTTCCCGGCCTTCTCTAGAGCCCCGACACTAACGCTTGAGAAACCAAATGGGCTTTCAGTGACAACAACAGAAAAGAACACTTTCACGCACTGAGGGCTATAGGAGGTGAAAACACGCCACACATCTGCGCTGGCTGGGTGAGGTCTCTGGACAAACTGCTTACAAGCCATCAGACAGCCTCCTCTTGTTTGTAGCCTTTCCTTCGATCTTATAGGATCACAGGTAGAAAATGAGCGACTGTCCCGCGGAACAATCCAATTCAGCTCGTCCCGTGAAGCAGAATAGTGCCTTTCCACAGCTCACGACACGGCTGGTCACAGCCCAGCTGGGAATACACGTTACTCGAAGGGCAGCCACGGGTCCTGCTACGCTCTTCCCAGTAAGCGACTGGGATCGTCTGAGCTTGCGAAGCAGGTTGTGATGCTCCTTGCCCACTGCACCAGCCAGCTGTGGAGACGGGCACACCTGCAGCTCTGAGCTGGAAAGGGAGCACACCTACGGTTCGGTGTGTCTGACTGCCAGAATGCAGCTGAGAAAGAAACGGGAGGAAGGACAGTAAAGGTTACTTTCACCTCAGCTGCCCTGACTCGTCATCACTCCTGACATCGTTTCCAAAATAATAAAACTAAAAAAACCACTTTCTCCCTCTGCATCTCTCCATCTCCACCTCTCCGGCCGTCCTCAGCCTGCAGGGGGTCCCAGGAGTCCGGCTCTCGGCTTTGACTAAACACTAAACCTTTTCAGCGCTGGGGCGCTGTGCCTGCTCCTGAATGAGTGTAAAGGAGCAGCAGGGAGTTCTCTGTCCTGATTCAGTACTTACGTCGGCTCCTGACTTGGCGTACTTCAGAATCCCTCTGTCAAGAAAGAAGTACCTCTGCAGGGAGAGAAAGTTGAACAAAGAGATGTTATTGTCTGGAAGCCACTCTTCTTTCCTAGTCTGAGCAGTTGGCCTCTTGCACTCTGCCCCTGGGTCTGGGGTGGGCACTGGGGGGTGAGTCAGGTTCGAGACCCGGACCCTAAGAGTCTGGATCTTAGGGGTCCGCGTGCGGAAATCAGAGAGGGTGGCGGGGCACCATGTTCTTGTTTTGCTGATGTATTATCTCAGGAAAAGATAAATGAAATAAAGAATTTGATGCCCCAGGAGCGTGGCAATTTCCCCTCCGGAGCTGGGATGGGAGGCACTGTGAGGAGCTGGGGTGGGAGCCCCTATATGGAGCTGTAATGGGAGGCACTGTGA